TCAACCTATCCCAGATTTATTTAGCAGTCGTGCATGAACCAACTAACTGAAAAGTGTCGGATTGCAGTGCGAATCTGATCATTCTCATGGCCTTCACATTACATAACAACTTGTCCTTTTCATCCTGTGGCATCTTATCTACGTCCGCCACAAGCTTATTATACTCTTTTTGAGTCTTCACAGTCTTGTTCGTTCCAGAGTGAACAAACGGCCCAAGCGTGATAACTTCCCAGATGAGATAACCATTATCTTCAGATCCAACCACGTAATCTTCAAAGTGATGTGCCCATACTTCATAGTCTTGAGTGTAAAGAATGGGAACCCTTGTAGTGGATCCGATGCTGTTAGAGATGTTGATGGGATTAGTTTGAGAATCTTCGTGAGACTTGGTGAGCCTTTTCTTAGAACCGCTAGAATCAGACCTGTAAACTTGAGATTAGGGTTTTATCAAACACACGAGTTACCGTCGACAGGAAGAAGACGGCTTCTATATATTCGATAAAAGCGGAAACCCTGAAGAATTCTTAACACAGAAGGAATGTGTATTGATCACACAGTCTCCTACTCTGATACCAATTGTTAGAACAAAGTTCTAGTAGGATCGATAGATTCTAAGCAAATAAACAATTAAAGACGTAATGAAGAACACAGGAATGGTTTAACTGATGTCGAATGATTAAACTTTAACACCTCAGAAGAGCTCGATTAAGAACTTCGACTGTAGAGGTGTTTAGGGTTACAAAGCAATAATCACTATAATCACGTTCGTTTCTAAGGCATACATGCATGCACTATTTATAGCTAAACCCTATAATAATCACAGATGGACAGACCCAATCAGGATATACAATATTAAGCCCATGACGCAACATAACATACCCAACAACTCGTCTTATGGGATATTTTAAATAATATTTTAAAAATGAAAGTTCCAAAATATTTGTAAAAATTACATGTGTTAAGAAATAACAGGGGTGTTACAATCATCATCAAGGGGATGATATCAAGTAATAACATATATTCAAGGAATGAGAAGGAAGGGTCTTATTTTTGGATAGGATCCTTAAATCTTTAGTTTTTGATAATATATACACCATCTTACATGTGTGTCCTTCCTTCGTTGAGTACATGTAGTTAGAATAACATGTATACTTATTCAACAAATGTACTGTATTTTTATAAAGAAACAAAAATAAAGTATGTTTCTATATGGATAATAATGAATTACATTACCTATATTGGAAAAAGAATATAATATGTTGCTATTATAAATAAAAATCAAGTATATTGCCATTATGGATAAAAAAGTAAAGTATATTGATATTATGGACAAAAATTAAAGTATGGTACTATTATGGATAAAAAATATAAGTACATTGTCTATATTGGTAAAAAATATTTTGTTATTACGGATAAAAACAAAAGTATCTTGCTATTATGTATAATTGTAAAGTACGTTGCTATAATAGATAAAAAAGTAAAGTACATTGTTATTCTGAATAAAAATAAATTATGTTTCATAATGGATAAAGAAATATATATATATATATATATATATATATATATATATATTATATATTGTCTATATTTAAAAATATATCATATGTTGGTCCCTATTGCGGATAAAAAAAATTATGTTGTTATTATGTATAAAAATAAAGTACATTACCATTATAATATTAAAACGAAGTATGTTTCTGTTATTGATAAAAATATAAGTATATTGTCTATATTGATAAAGAAATATAATATGTTGCTATTATAGTTTAAAAAATAGTGTATGTTGCTATTATTATGGATAAAAATATTGTTGTTATTATTAATATAAGTTTATTTCCTATATTATTTGTGGTTTGTGGTTTAGACCATTATTAAAATTTATGTTATATTTAGATTTATGTTTATTATTTTTGTTGTTAAACTTGTAAAATATGATTTGATCAGGTATTGGTTTTTTCTGCATTTTGGGTAGAAAAAATATTGATTTTTTAATGTTTTCTTTAAACTGCATTTTACTGACGAAAAAATTGTCATTTAAATTGTCACCATATGATTTCGTCAGTGTTATGTCAGAGATAGTCAAAAGTGTCATCCATCAGTATTTTGTCAGTATAACATTTTAACGCATCAATTGTTGTGTATGGAGAAAAATTATTGTGTACAAATCATCTCTCATTTTGTTAGAAACAACTAAATCTACCATTTGTCGAAATTATGTCGGAAATATCACTTAAAAGATTTTGCCGGAACTGCATTGTAATTACCTACATGGTTTTATATCAGGAAAATGTCAAAGGATCCGTCAGATTTATTTACCCACTCCTTATTTTCCGACGAATTTTTTTCCCTCGAAAAATATGTTGGTATCAGTCGTTTCCAACAAATTTCCTATTGAAATGACGTTTGGATTTTTACTTTATTCTAGTAGTTTAATTTTACTTTAATACATTAACTATTTAAAACTAAATCTAAAAATTAGACAAAAAAAAAGTTTACTCGACGAACCCGATCCTTATTACTAGTTCGATCGATTACTCAACATGTTCGAACAATTTGTTAAAAACAAATAAAAAATTTGTTACGATTATGTTCTTTGAATAAAATGAAAAATATTCAAAATTCTTATTGGCATTTAAATCACTTCTTATTAGAATATTAATTTTCAATAATCTTTCTCATGTCCACTACCCAAAAATATCTTTAAAAAGTAAATAAATATTAATTTTCAAATTGAACATAATTTAAATTTCGGCATTGAACTTTAACTTGCTACCCCCATTATCTAAAATGGTGAACCCACAAACCCCATCCATGTTGTTTATATCATGCATATGTGGAAATAGCATAATTTCTTTTTCTAAAGTAATGGTTATTTGATTTATTGGTATCTTTGATTTTTAACAAATAGTGATCAAGAAAGCATATTATAAGTTGATAATTAAGATTTTTCAGTTTAACAGCTATTGCAATTTCTATCTATGCTTTTTATAAGTTATGAATTCTAGAATGGAGGTATTCATATATACCCTTTCATCACTTCACATCCTTACATGCATGGGATATGAATGAACCTCCTTAGGCAATAGGAAACTGTAACGATAGTCAAGATTATACGAATATGATTGGTAAGTGTGAAAGGAACAAATTAAGTCATACGTAATAGTGGTCAACCACTTGGCCTTGGGGGAAAGCTTTTGTGATCGATCTTGAGTGTATCTTATAGATGAAACCAACTTTCGATCGTGAGGTAACTTGTTATTCATTTGTGATTACATTGGATAAAAGTTAAATACAACTTCCCATTTTTTAGTGACTAGTTACATTAATTTGCTTTGGTCTCTTTGTAATGTTTTAATTAGTTTGCAAATTTAAACCTAAAATCATTAAATCGTCCGTTGACTCACAAATTAATATTGTATTCTAACGACATCATCACTAAGTTTGACTACTCTTTTCGTTCTGATGATGAACACCTTGTCACAACAATGGCTGAACCACCGCCTTCATCCCTATCGTCACCCCTGGCCACCAGAAAATTCCACCATCTTCGCCCCATGCATGCATGTTCTAAAATATCAAAAAGTATTGAACTTTTAGTTAACTAACTCAAGATTATGTTTATATGTTTTGACATCAAATAAATGGAAATTAAAGATTTTTGTCATTTTCAGAGGCGGAACATAGAAGGTGCTAGGGGGCCATGGCCCCCCTGATTTTTTATCTATTAAATAGCAACAACTATAGAATTGTGATTATATAAGTTAATATTCTAAGAAATCAAAACACTGGCCCCTCACCTTTTTTCTACCGAATAGGCGAATATCAGTAATTAAACTTAAGATTTTTAGAAAATCAAAAGCAACCATATATTATCAAACTTATCCAAGGAAAACTAATTTGACTAGAAAGTAGAAAATATACACAATAAGCGCATAAAAAGTTGGAGACTTACAAATTAACCATATAAAAATTCTATGAAATCAATTATTTACTTACATCTTCAAATCACTAAACCCTAAAAATACTATCGTCTCCGCTTCTTGTTGGATCACATTGAAACTAGAAGATGCCGGATCGTTTTTCCTTGATTTGAAACAATAACTAGTTCTTCCGCACTCGTGTAAGTTACAACTCACCGGACTTCTTGCTCTCTCCCTTTTTCAGGTTCAGTCGACTCTTCTCCGTCGACTCTTTATTCTCTCTCCTCCCCGAGTTGCCGGCGCCAGACCACCACTGCTTTCCTCTCAGCCGACTCCACACAGGTACACATTTCCTCTTTGTGTCTCTTCATATCACTTAAGACTATGAGTTTCTTACTACTCTCTCCGTCTCTCGTTTCTAGATACTGATAAGTATCTCATTTATATATTTATGATGTATAGAGGTAATAAAGATTAAGTACAGCATAGATATATATAGGGCACTGGTGATGAATAGGGATGATAAAAATGTATGTATAAGGGTAATAAAGATGCAGTAAGTACAACATAAAAAAAAAGTTTACAAAAAAATAAAAGACATGGTACATATGTATGGGTAATAAAATTGGAGTTAATAAAGTTGGAGTAATTATAAATTTAGATATATATTTACAATGATAAATTCAAAATAATATATATATATATATATATATATAATATATAATATATATATATATATATATATATATATATAATTTTTTGTAAATTTTAGTTTCGGCCCCTTATTGTTCGTGTTCCGCCCTGGTCATTTTGAATAAAGATTAAATTGTAGATATTGACGGGTTCGCTTGATTGACTTAATTTTAATAGTTTATTGTAACCTAATTACTTTTAATTAAAACGAATCACTCTCTTCCATGGATACCAAACATTAGCACCATGCCAACAAGGTGGGTCCAAACTCAAAAAAGTGCGATTTAGGGCTTTCTGTAATAAATCAAAACTCTATGCGCATTCTCCTGGCCTATAAATTAACCTAATGAATCTAAATTAAACCTGACTTAAACAAGATTCTAAAACATGGGAAACTGCTTAATTCGACAAAACAAGATGATCATCAAGGTAATCAAAACAAATGGTGAAGTTCTTGAATACAAACCACCAATCAAAGTCCATCAAGTCTTAACACAACATGCAGATCATGCAATCTCCGACGTATTTCCCGTTGTCAGACATCTCGGCCACCAAGATGAAATGGTCGCCGGTCATATATATTATCTGCTTCCACTTCCTCATGTAGCTTTGCCGGAATCCATCAAGAACCCGAGAACCACAGTGAGGATTAAGTTGGTGGTAACTAAGCAGGAGTTGGAGATGATGTTGAAAAAGGGGGGTGTTTCTGTTTCTGTGGGTGATTTGGTTTCGCAGATCGGAAAAAATGGAAGCTTGATGGAGATCGTTGATGGAAGATGGAAGCCAGGTTTAGAAAGCATACCTGAATCTTGTTAGGTTTTGATAGTGATAAAATATGGTAAACTTTCAACGACCGGGAAGCATTTAAGTGCATGATTTAAAACGTGAATAATTGAATGGAACAATTTTTTTTGTTATATACCACAACTTATGTTTTAAAAAGGTTGTACAATATGCAAAAAAAAAAAAAAAAAAAAAAAAAAGAGGTTATTTTTGTGTATGTCAAATAAGTGTTGTGTACGCAATTATTCCCGAATTAATTGGGTGCCTATTGTTGAAAATTTAACGAGAATGTTAGAACACGTGGGCATAACTGTAATTACAATAGAGAGGTAAAGGTGTTTGCTTTTGTTTGTTGTTAAGTTTATGGTGAAAAAAAAGATTGTAAAGTTTTAACTGGAAGCATTGAGGTGCATGTTGTAAAACGTGGATTCAGATTCATGCAGTGGTGGATGTAAGATTTTATAGGAGGGTTGTCACGAGAAATTCGAAAAACCAGATGTTGTCGGTACCAGCACCACCACCCACATAGAACCTCCCCTAGGTTCATGCAAAATTGGGATAACAGGAAAACAATATGTATCAATGGGTAACTTTTGATTTTGCATTGTTCGATCTTTTGGGATACCAAGTGCATTTTTCTATAACTAAACCCCTAACCCCTTAAAGCCCTAAACATTGACTAATAATTTCTTTTGAGCAAATTACATGAATGGTCCCCATGGTTTGTCATAATTTATATGTTTGGTCGTTACATTTTTTTTTAACTCAAACCACCCCTATGATATATTGTTATTACGTCTTTGGTCCCAACCTACGTTGAATGAACGTTTTACTCTTATATATTTATTTAATATATTTTTTTTATCGTTTATCTATAGTCATATTATTATTATGTAATAATTTACTATAATCTAAAAGACCCACGACCCCACACTTTTATCTTGATCCCGTCTCTTTCCTCGCACCACCTTACTATCTCCCATGTTCGTCAATATTGGTGGGACATCCAATTTCTCTTGCCGAAAAGACCACAACATCTCCTTCATCTGCCCTCTCCCTATAAAACCAGAACTCTAGCCAACATCTAGTTTTTTCCTCGTCAGAGAGAGCATCACCTCTCTTCCATCCGTCGTTCTCCCTGTAAAATCTTTATAATTAACCAAAATTTCAATTTTTTCCGCTTAAATGATACTATGTGATTAAAGATCTTCACAAAAGATTGTCCTTTCTTTCCGATGTGTGACTATGTGATCGAAGATTGTCACAAATATTGTTTTTTCTTCTTGCCGGCATATGACTATTGGACCGGACTTATGTGAGTATGTGATAGGAGATTGTCATAGAGATTTTCCTTTCTCTAGCCATGCTAGGCAAAAGTGGTATGCAATATTGATTAACTTGATAAAAAAAACATTTATGGTATTTTCCCTAGCCATACATGTAAAAATATCAAAAGAAGTCTCTGAAATACGTATTTATTGTATTTTTGTAGTATATATATAAACCGCAAAGTTAACAAAAAATAGTCAGCAAATACCACAGTTGGGTATTTTAGCATGTACAACTTGCAAAATTACCATTTTTGCAGGCTATAAAAATACCAAAATTTACCGACAATTTACATATTTCCGGTTAGTTTTAGTATTC